ATCAGGTCAGAAAAGGCTTCTCTGAGGGCTTTCATTTGAGTCAAGACCCACGAGAAGTGAGGGAGGTTGCTCTGTAAATAGCAAGGGTACCAGCTGAGAAATGGAAGTGCTGGGTCAGGAGGTGTGTATATTGAAAGTGCCAAATCACCTTCTGAACTGTCTGTGACAATTCATACTCCTATTTGAAGCATGAAAGTACCCATTTCTCACATTTTTTCTAATAATTATTAACATGCTTCTTAATTTTTACCAATTCAGTGTGTGGAAAACTGGGGGTTTTTTTGCTTTAGTTTTAATTGGTATAAATTTCATGCTTGTGATTGTGCATATTTTATTTTAAAAATTTATTTTTTCTAGTGTCAACTTTTTAAAAAATCTTTATTGTTGAAAGTATTACATAGATCCTCCTTTCCCCCCCATAAACCTCTTCCAGCCCACTCCCGTCCTCCCTACCCCTCAGGCACTCACCACCTCATTGTCTGTATCCAGGGGTTATGTATATACACATACAAGTTCATTGATTGATCTCTTCCCACCCACCCTCCCCTGCCTTCTGTCTGAGATTCAACAGTCTGTTTGTGCATATTTTAATATGTATATTGGCCCTTTGAATTTGCTCATCTCCGACTTGGCAGTTCTAAATTTATAATAAATCTTTAATTTATTATATATTTCTAAAATGTGATTGCTATTGTGTAAAGAAGCTATGATGTGGGGTTTTTTAAGACTATGTTTTTAGAGCACTTTTAGGTTTGCAGCAAAATTGAGAGAGGAAAGTACAAAGATTTCCCATATACCTCATATCCACACACGCCCAGCCTCTGCCATTATCAGCCTCCACACCAGAGTGGTACATTTGTTATAATTGATGAACCTACATCAACACATTATAATCACCCGAAGTCCCTAGTTTACATTATGGGTCACTCTTGGTGTTGTACATATTGTCAGTTTGGACAAGTGTATAATGACATATTTCCATCGTTATAGTATCATGTAGTATCTTTTCACTACCATAACAACCCTCTGTGCTCCACCTATTCATTTCATTCTTCCCTTCCAACCCTGGGCAACTGCTGATTTTTATACTGTCTGCATAGTTTTGCCTTTTCCGGAATGTCATTAAGTTGGAATCATGCAGTATGTGGCCTTTTCAGATTGACTTCTTTAACTTAGTAATATGCATTTAATGTTCCTCCCTGTCTTGTCATGGCTTGATAGGTCATTTCTTTTTAGTGCTGAGCTATCCATTGTATGGATTTAATAGTTTTTCTATCCATTCACCTACTGAAGGACATCTGGGTTGCTCCAAGTTTTGGCAATTATGAATATGCTTGTACAGGTTTCTGTGTGGATATACAATTTCAACACCTTTGGGTAAATACCAAGGATTGTGATTGCTAGATTGCATGGTAAAGTCTAATTTTGTAAGAAACCATCAAACTGTCTTTCAAAGTGGCTGTACCATTTTGCATTTCCATCAACAATGAATGATGAGCCCTGGCTGGTTTTGCTCAGTGGATAGAGTGTCGGCCTGTGGACTGAAGGGTCCTGTGTTCGATTCTGGTCAGAGCACATGTCCAGGTTGTGGCTCAATCCCCAGTAGGGGGGTGTGCAGGAAGCAGCCAATCAATGATTCTCTCTCATCATTGATGTTTCTCTCTCTCTCTCCCTCTCCCTACCTCTCTGAAATCAATAAAAATATATTTAGAAAAAAGAAAAAAACAATGAATGATGAGCAACAAGGGATTTATGTATGCAAAAAAATGGAAAGGTGCACATACAGGGATGACTGAAGCATAGGGTGAGGGCATGAAGAACAGCTGAGTATGAGGCTAGAGAGATAAGCTGGACACCACTCTTTAAATTCTGATTTAATTTTATAATTTGGTAAAATTCAAAACCATTTCTGTTAAACTCTTGATTAGGATAACATTAAATATAATAAGTATGCCATAAATAGTTATTAAATTGCATTAAATTGAGTTAAGTAATGTCACTTATTGAAGAATGGAGTAGATAAAAGTAATACAATGCAATATACAGTATGGGCTGGTTTTTAAACAATGTTAATAAAATTAAGAGTATAGTAAATCCAAGATGTGTGTTCCTTTTCAAAGTTAAAACTCAAGGAAGGAAGACTACCCTCTTCAAGAATAATCAGTCAGCTTTAAGACAGGGAACAGAAAATCAATTGCCCTGATTATTTTGGAGCTGTCTATTATTCACCTTAGTATGTGGTCCACTACAAAAATAGGGAAAGTTCCATCAGCCAGCAGAGCCCTTCGGCGCAGCAATAAGGAAGGAATTGTTTAAGGAAACAAAAGGGAACTGGAAGTATACTAACTGCTCTAGAATGTTGCTGGTGGAATGAGACCTAGAATGTAGGTCTGAGAACAGAATGGACATCGGAAGAATTTTCTCTTATTAAGGTCCAACAGTGTTTGAAAGGCAGAAGGAGATAATTCAGTACAGGTGGAGAAGTTGGATGTTTTAAAGAGGGGAAACCCACTTTGAACAAGAGTTCTTTAGAAAATGTGAAATAGCTTGTTCCATGACACAGTGGGGAAGAGGGACCACTTCTTCCTCTTAGAATTGCAACAAGGATAACATCCTATATAATAAAAAGCTAATATGCAAATTGACCAAACTGCGGAACAACAGGTCGCTATGATGCGCACTGACCACCAGGGGGCAGATGCTCAATGCAGGAGCTGCCCCTTGGTCATCAGTGCGCTCCCACAGGGGGAGCGCCGCTCGGCCAGAAGCCAGGCTCACGGTTGCTGAGTGCAGCGGCGGTGTCAGGAGCCTCTCCTGCCTCCACAGCAGCACTAAGGATTTCCAACTGATGGCTGCAGGACTGCAAGAGGGTGCAGACCAGCCTGAGGGACCCCCCGAGTGCACGAATTTCGTGCACCAGGTCTCTAGTTGAAGATATAAAGAAGGAGGTGTTGAAGGATAGATGCAGAGAGCTAGACAAATTACTTTAATGGTTTTGATCTTCTAAATAAGTATATCCCCTGGACACTTATATCACAATCAATGGGGAGTGCTGGATAAAAATTCATCTCCCTGGACAACTCTCATCAGAAAGTGATATCACATCATTCCAGCTATAGTTTGAGAACCACTGTTCAAACAAAGAAGAAAACTATCTGCAGTGTGTGTCTACATTATTGAGAAAGAATTACTGTTTAGGAGGAGAGATAGGGATGGGCAATTAAGAAGATGAAAGATTGCCTGGGAAGTGTGGCTCAATGGTTGAGCATCGACCTATGAACCAGGAAGGTCACAGTTCGATTACTGGTCAAGCGCATGCCCCATTTGCAAGTTCTATCCCCAGTAGGGGGAGTGCAGGAGGCAACCAATCAATAATTCTCTCTGATCATTGATGTTTCTATCCCTCCTCTCCCTTCCTCTCTTAAATCAATAAAAAAATTTTTTAAAAAGGATGAAAAATTTAAAATTTTCTAAGCAGAGCCTATTTGGAAGTTGGGAAATGGGAATTTCTGCTGGAGAAGCTAGCTCAGCTCCAAAATATGGTTCAATGTGCTTCCATGACTTCTTCTATGGTAAAGTGATTCCACCTAAAAATGCTGTGATCACTTCTCTATTTGTCAGAGCTCAGGAAATATTGCTACAGCAGGCTGCTGAAGTGAAGTCCAAACAAATTAGAGATGCTGAATCAAGGCCATGAAGAAAACTTGAGCAATTTCCCTTCCTTTGGACTTGAGAAACACACCTTTCATGGAAGGCAAGGTTAATAACACTGGTTGCTGCATAAAATCCTGTGGATTTGAGTATTCAGAATTTTGGTTTCACATATTTATGATGAGCCCTGCCAGAATGTCAGGCCAGACTCCTGCTAGTTGTGGCTCAGCTCCATTCTCAGATGCTGCTGCTCCTTCTTCAAATAACCTGAGATGGGCAGCTCCCCTTCCTGTGAAAGAAAACAAGGGTTGCAAGGCCCTAGCCTATTTTATTGTCTTTTTCTCTTTGTTTTCACTTGAGCTACTCCAGCAACTTCTTAATTGGTCTTTAGTTCACCAGCCTCCTCCTTCTTCAGAACATCTTCTGAACTGCCAGAGTTACCTTTCTTGACATGGACTGACCACTAAACAGATGGTGAAATATTTGTAACCCAAATGGTAAATCCTGTAAGTACTTACTGCTGTGAAGACTCCCCATCACCAGAGTGAAGTCCAAACAAATTAGAGATGCCCAAGTTTTTTGCCACATGCCTCACCTGTCACCACAACCTCCATCATTCCAGCCTTGCTTGTTACAGGAACACTGAATCCTCATCATTGTTTTAGTGCACTGTATACCCTTGTCAGTGACCAAAGTGTCCCCAAAATTGGGTCATTAAATCTTTAATTCTCCAATGTCTGACACATAGGATGTTTACCATGAATTTTAGGTGAACATAGTTGAACTTTCACTTCATATAATCTAAAGTGAAAGAACATAGGAAAGAAGTGTTCTTTGGTGCAAGCAACATGGGCAGCTCTTAGCATCATTTTATAACAAGTCTTTTTTCTATGTAATATTATAGTTATAAGATAGCATTGATTAATCTGAATACTTGTAGAATCATAGAATTTCAAAGTGAAGGAGTATTTTAGAAGGCGTTCCTTTGATTTGCAGATGAGGAATCAGTCCTGTGCTTATGTCAGACCATACAAATAGCTTTTATCAAAATCCTATTCAATAACCAAAACTTTTTGAATTCATGGGTATTAAACCATCCTTACATTCCAGGCAAATAAAATGTGGAAGAGAACAAAATGTGCAATGCACTTTAGTTAAGAGGAAATCTCATTAAGGACTCTTAACCTGAGTCTAGGTTGCTGAGGTGGGGAAAAGCCACGCTACATGATGAGAGAGAATTGGAAGTTCAAGGATGTATGAGCTATCAAGTCCATCAGAAGAACAACAGAGTGGGTGTTGATGTATTTCTTTTCTCCCAGGGTAATTGAGCCTCTTTTTCTCTTTAATAGGTTTCAGAACCTGCTGTGGTCCAGAAAGACATTTGTGGACAACATGAAAATTTATAACCACAGCTACATCTATATGCCTGCTTTTTCTATGAAGACAGGAACAGAGCCATCCCTCCGGGTTTATTATACACTGTCAGATGTCGGTGCCAATCAAACAGTGCTCTTTGCTAATCCCAACTTTCTGCGTAGCATTGGAAAGTTCTGGAAAAGTAGAGGAATTCATGCCAAACGCCTGTCCACAGGACTCTTTCTGGTGAGCGCAGCCCTGGGCCTCTGTGAGGAAGTGGCCATCTATGGCTTCTGGCCTTTCTCTGTGAATATGCATGAGCAGCCCATCAGCCACCACTACTATGATAATGTCTTGCCCTTTTCTGGCTTTCATGCCATGCCGGAGGAATTTCTCCAACTCTGGTACCTTCATAAAATTGGCACACTGAGAATGCAGCTGGACCCATGTGAGGATACCTCACTCCAGCCCACTTCCTAGGGACAGTGGAAAAAGGAAGAACTAAGCCAGGGTATTTTTGCTAGGTTTTCTACAGGACTGCAAAAGGAAGTGGTGCAGTTATTTCATGGATTTGCCTGGGCCACTTGCAAACAGCAACCGCAATCCAAAGGAAACTCTATTTTTAATGTTGGCTTGGAGGACAAATAGGAAGATGTTTTATGAAGTATTCAATAGCACATTGTGGATTTGCAACTAGTGACATTCTGATGAAATGATTGTTGGTCAAGCACATTTACATGGTTTAAATCGAGAAGGTACAGTTCACAAATAAGGCGGAACTCTAGCTGTTGAAGTTGAAGAGTTCATCAAGGTTAATAAAGGAAATTCCAGGGCAAAGTATTACTGATTATCAATATAAGCTGGCTTAATTAAAAAAAATTACTTATAAAGACTGAAATTCGAACCATAGATTTTTTAAAAATTATTATTTATTTTTGTCCTATTTAGGGGAAGTGAATAGGTAATGGGGTAGATTTTTTAAAAATCCCTTACTGAGTATTAAGGACATAAAACAATACAGCTGATATTGTGATTTGTTGAACCAACTGTATGTTAACTGTAGTCCCCCTCCATTTAAAAAATGTTAAATAAGAATTACTTCCTCCTCCTTTGTCAAGTCTACTTAGACAATGTGAAACATTGTTGAATTTAGACTGTGTTGTTTCACAGTCTGAATAACATGAACCATTTTTCCTCCTCCTCAGAATGTAGGGCATACATTCAGTTTTAGGTCTGCATTTTGTAAGCCTGTTTGCATTATTGTTATTTTAGTGCACAAAGAGTACAAATGTGAATGCGTTATTTATTTGCAAATTATTTGCATAATTGTCTTTATAATTTAATGTTCAGAGATGAAGTAAAGCACAATGTGGTAAACTTAGTCTCTGGAAGACAGATTGGAAGGCTCCTCCCTTTTCTATCTATCATGGTATATTCACTCTGAGATAAAGCATATGCGCGCGCGCACACACACACACACACACACACAACTTAACAAAGCTCATTCCCATGAATCCACATGACTGGTATTTCAAAAATCTGTAACCAGTGTTGGAGAGTTCCAAATGTATTATGTACCTACCCACCACACCCTGATATGACAAACCAGCTTACTGGTTGCTGCTCATAATGCTTATACCAGCTTGAGATGCAAACTTTACCCCCAAAATGCTTACCCCAAATGAACAGAGTTGTTTTACTCATTCTGACTCTCTCCATCATATCACGAATGGACCCTGTGTTGAGTATGATCATATTAGGTAGATTCATACAAGTAAAGGGGTGTGAATTAGTAGCTATCTAGTCTCATAGTAGCAGATAGGACTACTTTGAAAGCCAAACTCTGACAGACTACGAGCAGCCAAATGTGTTTACATATAAGAGAAAGGTAAAGGAAGCCTTTTATTATCTTTGTTCTTTGAGATGCCTTATTCTAATAGGAGATGCTAGAACTCACTATCTTTATTTTTTTAAGTATCACCAAAATTTAGGTAAATTGTGCCAAAAAGTTGTTTTATATTTTAATGGTAGAAATTTAGTACACAATACAGATTAAGTCAGGTGGCATTTTAAATGGTAGGTTAATCTAAAAGTTATCAGGATAACAATGCCCTTGGGAAATATCTACATCATCGAAATAGGCAATTTCTAAATAAGATTGAATATCAAGGTTATTATAGAAATCAACAAGTGAAATGTGAGTGGCTGATAAAACACAGATTATACTGATACTTAGAAAGTTAAGAATTTTAGAGCATTGATTCTGTGCAGAACTGATTGGCTATTTTGATGCAATATGGCAGGAAATATGTAGTAAGGATGTACTATTGAGTGAGCTGTGTTAAATATGCTCTAAACATGCAATCCTGAATATATTTCCTCTTTTGAGCTATTGTTATTATTTAATAATTACCTTAGAAAAGAATACATTGTGACCTATACACTTATTCGGAAATATTAAAGGGCTAAAAAAACCCCACATACAAATGTTAATAAAATATGTCATTCAGATTAGTGTTTAATTGTTAAAATGTAATTAATGAGCTCCATAAAACCAGAGAATCACAGTTCCATTGAAAGTACTATCTGGAAATGTTTCATCTTGTTATGATTCCTGGGATAGATTTGTGCAATAGGTTTGTACAATGTTTCGTTATAAATTTGTGGTTTCTGAAAGGCAAGACCGATCCCAAACTCATAATGTTTACTTGGACCATTGCTTCTCAAATGGGGTGATGCTCTTCCTCCATCTGGTGACATTTGGCAATGTCTGGAGGCATTTTTGATTGTCATGATTTGGAGAGTGCTACTGGCATCTAGTGGGTAGAGGCCAGGGATCCTGCTAAACACTCACAATGCACAGGTCAGATTCCCCACTAGAAAGAATCATGCAGTCTAAAATGTCAATAGTGCCAAGGTTGAGAAGCCCTAGATTAGACCAAAATATTTTGATGGGTCCATAGTGTTTTCACTTAGGGATACATACACATGCTCATGTCATTGAAAGTGTGATGACAAGTTAATGAGAATATTTTCTTAGGGTAGATTAAAGTTTGGCATTACTTTAGAGGTATGCCATACATATTTCTGTGGTTAGTTAGATGTATCTAAACCTAAGCTTGTGAGTATATGTGCTTATGTGTGTGTGTGTGTGCATGTGTGTGTAGAATAAACTTGTGCATCTATCCTTTTAAAATACACGTGTTCCTAAGTAAGGATGTCTCTAGAATTATCCTACAGAATACTCGGAAATCTCTATTACTACTAAGATACTGAATTCTAAACTCTCATTATTTTGTTTTTCTGAAATTGAGGACTTTAGAATTGTGCCTCAAACTTTGCCAAATTTAGTCAATTACATTTTTATACTACTGGCCCTTAAGATTCATCTCAGAAGATATTCAAGTTATGGTAGACACATTCAATAAAAAAGAACTTAATCACTTTCAATGCATCTGCAAGAGAAGGCATTACTATGTCTAAGTTTTAAAGTTATTTAGTGAAAAATTAGATGGCTCCAAGAGGGCTAAAGAAAGGGTGAAAGAACTGAAAATAAGTTCCTGATGAGTCTTTTTATTAGCTCTAATTTGAGAATTGCATTGATGCTGAGGATCATGAATGAGGATGACCTCTGTTTAATTTTTATTGCACTTCATGAAATTGAGATAGGTGAAAGATTAAGTCATTCATAGAAAGAAATAATTTTTTATTTTAACTTTTTATTTTTGTTGAATTTATTGGGGTAACATTGGTGAATAAATTTACATGTTTGAGATGTACAATTCTATAATACATCACCTATATATTGTATTGTGTGTTCACCGTTCCAAACCAAGTCTCCTCCCAACATCATTTATCCCCCCCTATACCCTCTTCCACCTCCCCCTCTGATAATCACCATACTTTGTGTGTATGAGTTGGGATTAAGAAAAAAAAGCAAAATAATTTTTATATGAAAGATTTTTATATGAAGAGGACATTGGACATGACAGCTTTATATAGAGTATTTGACCAGCAGTTTATATGACACTGTGCATCTAACCTGCAACTAGCACAAGAAGTTGAAGAGTTCTTCCTGAATTTTGTCTCTGTTTAATTCACTTTTAGCTATTTTAACAAAGACAAATGATCCAAAATGATCCAGGTGATCCCGAATGGCAGATGTTCAGACAATACTCTGTGTTTGGCTTTATGATGTCTCATGCCCTTCTTTTGGCTAAAAACTTTGTTTAAGTTAAATATAAATTATACCTGAAGCAATGGACCACATGGCTTAAAAGTCTACTTGGGCCCTGGCAGATTTGGCTCAGTGGATAGAGCGTCGGCCTGCGGACTGAAGGGTCCCAGGTTCAATTCCGGTCAGGGGCACATGCCTGGGTTGCGGGCTCTGTCCCCAGTAGGGGGCATACAGGAGGCAGCCCATCAATAATTCTCTCACATCATTGATGTTTTTATCTCTCTCTTTCTCTCCCTTCCTCTCGAAATCAATAAAAAAAAATTTTTTTTAAAGTCTACTTGGGCCACCTGGTGTGGCTCAGTGGTTGAATGTTAACCCAGGGACCAAGAGGTCACGGTTTGATTCCCATTCAGGGCACATGCCTGGGTTGCGGGCTCGATTCCCAGTGTGGGGCGTCCAAGAGGCAGCCCATCAATGATGTTTCTATCTCTCTATCCCCTTCCCTCTCTCTGAAAATTAATAAAAGCATATTTTTTAAAAAAATCTACTTGGAAAATAACTGAAGAAATTCTAGAATTCTAAATTTACCAAAAATAGTTTTAATTAGTCAAAATATTTACAGGAGTATTACAGATGACTTCAAGTGGAAATGATATCAATCACATTCCTTTTGTCAGCAATGATGATAGTTGTATACTATGCACAGCCTCTTATTTCTTTGTGTGGAAAATTGGTGACCTGTCATTTTAATTTGTATGTTTAAAAATATGGACTTTGTGAAAATTTTTAACTGTGAAATCTTGTTAGGAGCAACCTAAGAGGAAGAAATGTCACAGCCCATTTAAGCTTTTATAAAATTCTTACTGTGTTGTATGAAAACTTTCTCACCAGAACCAGGGAACATACCTGTTCTGTGTTTGTAGAGTTCTAGTGATCAAAGCTATAAAGATTTTTGTGGGAGCTGGGGGACAAGTATGTGGAGAAGTAAGGACTGAGAGCAAACCTGTGCTTTGTATTTCTTCATCTTCCAGTGTAGGTAGAGGTTGACTCTCCGAGTGTATGACTTCCGGTGGGTACACATCAGGGCTGGAAGCAGGTAAATCACTCCAGGAACCTTCAGTTTAGGTCAAGCTTCTAACACCGTCAACAGTAACTATAAATATGACCAGTGGTTTTGACAACTTCAATCCACTGTGTGCTAGGCAGTGGATGAGGCAAGTGGAAAGGAGGAGACAGCCCTGCTCTCAAGCTCTCAGGATACAAAGGGTCAGAGAAGACACTGTGCTTGACCTTGGCTTTCAAGCACTGCCTTTCTCTGTCCAATCCCGTGGCCTCACTGTGGAGAGGAGCTAGTAGCCTTGTGACTAGAGAGCTGGTGTGGAAATTTGCTGAGAAGCTTAAAATTTTACACTGTCTTATATAAGGTGTTCTTTTTTGTTGCTGTTGATTTTTCCCCCCTCAAATTTGTGCTTCTAAATGTGGGTGTCTTGTGACAGAGTTCTAGTCACCCTGACCTAATTATGGCCCTGCCAGTGATTATTAAAAGTGGAGCTCCTCCCAACCCCCACTTTCAGATGGATTTTCTGAGTCCTTGAAGATAGGGACACGGTAATATTCCACCAGTTCCTACAGAGCCTTTTCTGAAGCCCTGGAGACGAACCCAGAGAAATCCCGAAGCTTAGAATGTCTGTTTATAAACTCCAAAATGTGAGGCCATATAATACTGAGGTTAAATAAGTAGAAGGAAATATATATGAATCTACAATTGCCATAACCTTTTTCCTTCCTATCTTAAGAAAATGGTTTCTGTCGGCATTACCCTCAGCCTAGTCTTGTCCTTCGAATT